ATTTTTATATTAAATTACTTTTTTAAAACTACTTTTATCTAACCTGACTAGTTTAAAAAAATAATCAAAATTGAGAGTTACTTTTGAAAATTAATATCGTTATTCAAGAAGTATTGTCATTATATATGCAAAGTAATGATAAAAATAATTGTATTCATTATTATTGTCCAGAAATAATAACTGCGTTCCCGTTATTAATGAAAAAATATAAGGCGGTTACCAATTCGTTATTGAGAAAAGTAAATTACAGTAACTGTGTTACAAGTAATAAGTTACTTCCCAACCCTACTAATAATATATAACATAAATATATCAATAAATTAATAAAGAATATATCTTTTTTGTTCAATTTATAGAAAATAGATCTGTCTTACAAGAGATTGCAAACAATTTGAATAAGGAAACTCCAACAATACAAATATTAAATTTATCAACATCAGGTAATTTATAAACAAACATGTATTGGAAATATTCATAATATGAATATTTATATTATGATCATTTATATTTAAAAAAATGATATATTAATAATTTTTCTATTTTATTCTTGTAATTACTGCTTTCCAGATTTATCCCCATCTGTTAGTACAGATAATACATTGAATACTAGTACATCAAGTGTAAATATTAATATCCAAGATAATATCTGTATGTCATCAGATAAGAATTCCTGCAGTATCGAACAATGTGACAATTCAAATGCCAACAATCAGATTAGAGATCTTACAAATTTTCATACAGGTATTTTTATAGAAATAGAAAAATATTATTTTATAATAATGGGTTAAATAAGATAAGTCTTTGTTATATGTATTGTGACGTTGCGGTTTCGCCGCGGCGTGGCAGCGCTCCGCCGCCGTCACAAGGCGTGGATTGCGCGCCCGAGGACGGCTCACGAATCAACCTTCGATCTCCAGGGGCGTATTAAAGTTGCGATTCAAATATTCATTATTGTTTTTTTTTTCTTTTGCGATATTGCGTGGCGCCTCACCCCGTCGAGTTGGAGTTCCAACGCCACACTGAAGATGACGAGGAGTACCAGGAGAGCCGGATGATAAACGGAATCACAAGGACCGAAAGCGAGATGTCGAGGGCGAGGAGCCCGAGTTACGAGGACCGCTACTAAGCGAGGGACGACGTGAGACGCGCGCGCTGCGCGCCAGCAACGGCAGGCGAACCTGTGCATCGCAGGGGCCCGGCGCCGGGCCTGTCTGCAGTCCTCCGAGGCCAGACGGACTCTGGGGGTGGATGGCCACCACCCCCGAGTCGAGCCAGAGGACACCGCGGGAGTCATCGCCTTGCCTACTACAACGGGGAAACCTGGAAGGACCCCGCGAGCGCGAATGGCACGTTCGAACGCCCCGCCGAATCCACGGTCGATAACCCTGCTAGCGGCTCCCACACGAGCTTGCGAGCTCATCGCCAATTGGTCCGCTTATCGCGCGGAAGGGTCGCGCATGTCCCGCTAGGGGCGTTAGATCGACGCCTCTATCGAGCGCACTTCCGCGATCATTCTTGAGCCACCCTCGGGACGACACGCACGGCTTTCTTGAGCGCTTCTCGACCGACTCTTGCTGCGCACTTGGTGCCTGATTCTCTCGCGACGGCTTTTGGTGACGGCGGAGAGGACAACCCCGACCGAGGAAGTATCTTACCGGTGAGGTTGCCTCGTAATAGACGGTAGTAATGTAAGCCACGACACCGCCCTCCGGGCCACGCTCTCGCCTAAAGTACTCGCGTAATTGAGATCTCGTAATTTTGCATCTGCGATCGAGAGCGAGAGCGAAGGGCTTTGGAATGGTCTCGTGGCCAGTGAATAGTACTCATCGCGTGAAAGTCCTGGAGATCGCGATAGATATCTCGATTCGGTAATTCGCGAACATTCTTACGGTATCTGTGGTTGCGATCGCGTATTACCCGGCGGTGCGTCACGCGCGACTCTCGTGATCGTAGTTTATTCGTCGAGAATGCTTCTTTTGCGTTACGCCGTTTCCGTAATCTCGTGTGCTTGCGATCAAATTCGCGTTTTCCTCGTGTAGATATTTTCCCCTGCGTAGATTTAGTTGTACATTGCGTTAGTATGTAAGTTCGTCATCTCTTGCGTTAGATTTAGTTTATTTCGCGTTAGTCTGCCAGTCCGTCAAGACATTATTGCGTTGTGTAGTCTCGCGCTGGTTTAGCGCTATTCTCCTCGGAGAATACTCTTTCTTTCGCGTTGGATTAAGTACTCTTTTGCGTAGGGCGTATGTCCCGTAAAAATTCGTTAGATGGAGTACGATATCCTTCTCGCGCTGATGATTTCCTCGGCGCGATAAAACCTAAATATTTCGCGTTATCTGTCGCGTTCGGGCTTGATTATTGGCCCGTCGTTGTGTTATATTGCGCCTCGTATTTCGGGGATACTCTCTCCTGGCGACAGAATTCTGAACAATCGCGATCCTGCGTACTTTCTGGAGTAAACTTGGCGTCTGAGATCGCGTGAAAAATTGACTTGTTTTCGGAGTTATTATTTTCCTGGTTGTAACGATTTTTGATTTATTCTTTCACGCTCACAATTATTCACGTCTATATGATTTCGCTTTTGTGAGAGGTGAATCAACGGTTCTTTAATTTATTAGAGCAATCTCGTGAGCTAATTGTTTTTTTTCTTGGCAATAAATGTTAATCTCTTTTGTTATTAATTGTTTGAGTTCGTAATTTCTGTGTCGCCCGTCACAATTCGCGCTGCCCTATACCACCTTCGTCCCTGAGTAATACGCCGAGCTGGTCGATTTCTCGCACGCCGTTTAATTACGATAAACGTTTCGATAATTTGTGATAAATTTTGCGTTAGTGGACGCGGGATACCGCGTCTGGCGCCCAACACTCACGTTTGCGTTAGAAATTCGGTTCGTGCGAGAGATCCGTCGGAGAGGCCTGACATCCTACTCTCCCGCAACTTTCTTTTGATCCGGCTTTGCGCCCGAACGGGTAAAAAGTCGTGACAGTATATACACATGGTTTGTGCAAAATAATAGTACAAGAAAGTGATCTCTTTCTTTCTCTCTCTCTCTCTCTCTCTCTCTCTCTCTCTCTCTCACGCACGCACACACGCACGCACGCACGCACACACACACACACACACACACACACACACACACACACCAGAATAAGTCGAAATAATACAATAATTTTTTTCATGCGCAGTTTTATTTTTCAAATAAACGATGATCTTGAGGTCAATCCATCATTCACGTTGATTTAATAAATTTTGCACTTTTGGTTAAAATATAGTAAAGCAGAATTATGTTGAAAAATTAATCTTCCTAATAATAATAATAATAATCAATACATATTCTAGCAGTGGGTAACTTTTTCACGTAAAAAACAGACATGTATGATATATTCCAGTTAAATTGTTTAAAATATAATTAGACAATCTCGACTTATTTTGGCAATAACAGCGAGGAATTACGTCTTATTCTCACTTGCATTACAATTTTGCACATAACCTGTATGTATATTTAATAATACATAATAGATTACGTTTACACGGCCCAATTACACCAGAGTTATAACATTGATGTTATAACGACTGACATTAGATGCCGTGTAAACGTTCTTTTACGAAGAAGTTACTACATTGATGTAATAACTTCATTGTAAAAGAGTACGGTACTTAACGGTACCGTACGTTTATACGGTACTTAACATCAGTAGTTGTAATAGGCCAGTCATATTAGACATCAAATCTTCCAATTAATCTTCCCAGGTTGCAACCGCTATGAATCGCTTTGATTTGAGGTGCTATAAGTGGGATTTATTTTGCTTCCCAAAATTAACGGGAAATAAAAAGTTATTAACAATATTATTAAGAAAAAACACAATTCTTTTTATTTTTCCTCAAATATTTCGATAAGTAAGATAAGGTAACTAACTATACATACCTTTTTTGTAGAGCGTGAAATTATCTTTAATAATGATCTGAACAACATTTAATGTTTAAATCATTATTGTATATAATTTCACGCTTTACAAAAAAGGTACGTATAGTTAGTAGTTTCCTTATCTTGCTTAGTTTTCGAGATATTTGAAAAAAAAAATAAAAAAATTGCATTTTTTGTTGATAATATTGTTAATAACTTCTTATTCTCCGTTAATCTTGCAAAGCAAAATAAATACTACTTATAGTACCTCAAATCAAAGCGATTCGTGGTGGTTACAACCTGGGAGAATTAATTGGAAGGTTCGATATCTAATATGACTGGCCTATAACATTGATGTTATAACTTGGGCGTAAATCAGGCCGTGTAAACGTAGACATATAGGCACAGAACGTCTTTTTTTTGCAGTAAGAATTACATTTATAGTAAGAATTTTTCTACCTAATTCTTATGAATATTGCTTTCCAGATTTGCCGCCATCTATTACTACAAATACTACGTTGAATATTAGTACATCAAATATAATTGCTACTATTGAAGATAATATATGTACATTATCAAATACGAGTTCCCGTAATGTTGAACAATGTACTGGATATAATAAAACTAATTCTAATTCGACAAATTATAATACAAATGATAATGATGAAGATACAGATTTTGTTAATTTACATAAAGATACTGCTGTTAATAAAAATAGCGATTCATTATTTCACAATAACAACTTAATGAATGGTAAGTTTTTGATAAATACGCAATTACATATGCAGCACAATGTATGTAAAAAATTTGGTTAATGTTGCTCCACAATGTGGTAGATTCTTATACTTAAAAAATCTAAACATTGAATATTTTTTTTTTGCAGCAATTTAATATATTACTTGTAGTTATAAGTAATAATTGATAAACAGAATGTTCTAAAATTGAATTGACAATCTGTGTGTAGTTATAAGAAGCATTCATTGTTAATAAACCCATGTCTGCAAATAAACCGTTTTGGACTAGAGTGGTTTTTGAACTGTAATATTTACAGCAGTTATTCGAAGTGGTGACCATTAATTTACTTCCATATAGAGATTGTAACGTCGGTTTATGAATTCACAAACCCTGAAAATGATGTTGTACTTCTAGACATAACTAGCTAGACATAAACAACTAGTCTTTGATTCAATCTAGTGTCAAAATGGGTCATTTGTGGACATGGATTTAACAAAAAATACTTGTTATAATGTTCTTTATAACTACCTAAAGTTTGTCGATTTAATTTGGGACACCCTGTATATAATTTACATGATAACTGCAATTCATCTTTCACAGTGTAATATATTTGTAAGAATTTTTCTATTTAATTCTTTTAAATATTACTTTCAGATTTGTCACTATCTATTACTACAAATGCTGCTTTGAACACTAATATATCAAATACGAATACTAATATCGAAGACGATATCTGTGCATTATCGAATAAGAATTTCCATGACGTTGAACGACATACTGAATGTGATGTTGAAACTAATGTTGAATCTAATTCTAATTCTACACTTTGTAACAATAAAAATTTGAATGATGACATTAGAAAGTCAGTAAATTTGCAAGATGCTCTTATTATAAATAAAAGCAATGATTTCTTACGTCATAATAACAATGATGTAATAAGTGGTAAGTTTTTAAGATATGCAGGATGAGTCAAAATTTGTGGTACAACATAAAAGGAAATGATTCTATGGTTCAAAATAAAACAATAAAATATATTTTTTTAAATTAAACCTTAGTTTCGAGAAAACGAACTTTAACAATAATCCGGTACGGGGTTATTAATTGTTTATTTTTACTACAAACATTGCACATATATATATCTTGTTTACTGTTATGAATAGTTAGTTTACTATCAGAACTTACATTACTGTATTAATAAATAATTGTGATAACAACAATCAGTTCCTGTTGAATAAGCAATATGAGAAAATGGAATAATAACAAATAAAATAACTCTCTCTCTCTCTCTCTCTCTCTCTCTCTCTTTTCTTGCGTTAAGGTTATTTTTTGGAAACAAAATGCCCGATTATTTATATATTTTTTGAGAATTTTTTTGAAAAAAATTTTAATTTCTGTTATTTAGCTGAGTATTTTCAATTCAATAATATACTTTATTTACCCCAAGGGGTCTTAAAAGGCGTTTTTTAGGGACGTACCCTGTTACA